CACCAGAATGCATATACTATTGTGTTCCTTACTCCTTCCCAGCTTTGACTACTCAGAATCAGCAGTTCCCAATCTAGCATGCTTCTTTATGGCTGCCTTTGCTGCTATCCATCTTTTCTTCCCTTTTTCTCCTGGCTAACTCATAGTCATCTTGAAAAACTCTGCTCTGACATCAGTCCTCCAGGAAACATTCCCTAAAAGCCTATTCTTCCTGCTCTTGTTTCCTGATCCCAAAACAACCCTTGCTCTTGAGAGTTTCTGAGCTTTTCATGTAAATGCCTGAGGTCTCCAAATATCACCACAAAACTTAAACCAGGATGGGCTGAAGTGGGATTAATTCCATGTGGATTACACCAGAGTTATTTTCTAGCCCCTACACCTCTGAATGAGTCCGGTTCCCAGGGTGTAGTGTAACAGGAAAGTGTGAGGCTGCGGAGACTTGAGGGTCAACTGGAGCTTCAAACGCTAACGCTAAGCCAGGTGCAAGCCAGCCCTCCATTCCGCCGTGGTCTGCAGTCCGCCGAGAGCGCGGCCTCGGATTGGATAGGGCGGTGCATGCTGGGAGCGGCCTGGTCTTGGAAAGGCTTTCTGGGAGTTGTAGTTCTTGGAGCCGGAAGTGGGGGTGGCAGGGATAGAAACCGCAGCCGAGACAGCAGTCACTGACGCTGCTGCCGCCCCGGGGTAGCGTGTCACCTCGAGCGCTCTAGCCGTAGGTGCCTCCTCTGGCCCCAGGGGGCTCCGGGAGCCCTAAGCGGGGGACGCCTCCCTTTAGCGAGGAGGCGGTCTCGCAGCCCCGGATGCGGCCAGAGGGCACTGGAATGGAGCTCGGCGGCTGCGAGGAGCGCCTGCCGGAGGAAAGCAGGTGGGCTGTGCGGGGGCGGAGGAGTCAGAGGTGGTGGGATGTGCCCTAGCGCTTGGAAGGATTTGGAGGGCAAGGGGCCTTGAGGTGCCAGGCCGGACAGATCTGAGACGTACTAATGCGGCAGACTTGTTTGGGGAAGAATTTAGGAGAGGAAGGACGGGCAGGGCGTGGATAGGACCAGAGAACCGGCTTAGTGAGGGTGAGGGAGAGCAGGTAGGATACGGCAGAGGAAGCAGAAGAGGGTGAAGTCCAGATCCAAGACTGCTGGAGAGGAGGCTGATACTGAAAGTCTGGAAGAAAAAGACTGGGGTGCTGTGGTGAGATTTGATAGGCCAGAGTCTATAGATAGGAGCAGGGTACAGGGTACCCTGGGAGGGTATCCTGACTTGAAACTTGGCGGTGACAGCAAGTGGGGCCAGCGTTAAGGTGATGTAAGAATTCCTGGGAAGAAGCTGAAACCGGGATGAGTGGCGCAGAAGGCAAGAAGGAGGGAGGGCCTGTGGATCAAAGTGAGCGATTGTAATGGCACTGGGGTGGGGCTTGCTAAGGAGACCAGAAATGTGTGTGCATGTCCTTTGTCAATGCTGGGTCCCTGTCAGAGAGGCAGGACCTCTCTCTCATTTCCTTTTCATCTTTAAACCTTTCACTTCTTCCTCACAGTGCAAACTAAGTAAGTTCATATTTATTTCCACGGAACTACTGTCAGAAAGTTTATATTATCTAGAAATTAGAAAATTTGAGATTTTTTTTTTTTTTGGTAGAGACAGAGTCTCACTTTATTGCCCTTTGTAGAGTGGTATGGCATCACAGCTCACAGCAACCCCAAACTACAGGCCCCTGCCACAAGGCATGGCTATTTTTAGAGAAGGGGTCTCCATTTGCTGGTGTTGATCTCCGACTCCTGAGCTGAAGCAGTCCACCTGCCTTGGCCTCCCACAGTGCTAGGATTACAGATTTGAGCTACCTCACCCAGCCTTTTAAAAACTACTTTGACTGAAGGATGGATTGGACTACATAAAAGTGCTTCCTATATTTAGGGTTTGCTTCATTAGGAACTCTGGGCTTAACCTCTTAAGAGGCCAGAATGGTAACAGGCTAGAACAGGAATGTGGCTTAAGGGAGTCACTTAACATTTAGGAACATTTTCAATTTCAGTGATAGTCTCAGGAGCAGTTGGTGTCTAAAGACTGGGGGCAAAAGATTTACATTTGAGAAAATACCAATGGGAAAATAAATGGGATATTTTGACTGGGCGAAGACTTGCTATTTTTATGTGCACAGGTAGCCTATGGCCTGCTATACAAAACCTGGACTGACAGGACTTTGGGGTTCCTGCCAGAGATCTATGAGTAGTGTGTGCTAAGTAAAACCGAACATCTTACTTCCCTTTTCCATGTTTCAGTTTCCACTTATGTATATTTGGCTATTTATTCTTCTTCCAGGTGTCTGTGAAATCCTTCATGTGAAAGGACCCATGTAAATTCTAAACAAGTTTTAGGGTTATTTTCATTTTCCTGTACCAGTTTATGCAGTGGAGGCTGAGTTAGAAATTCAAGTTCAAATTTCTTTCCCATCTGGCTGGAATTAGGTTAGTTATTTATTTAATGTAGTTAACAAACACTCATTTACTTCATATCAAGTACTGTTTTAAGATATTAAGATGTAAATACTGTATTAACTTAATCCTCATAACTACTGTACAGGAGGTAGGTACTATTATTGTTACCATTTCACAGATGTGGAAACTAAGATATGGATAGGATATGTAACTTGTCAAGTCCATATAGCAAATCCTTGGTGGAACTGGGAATCAAACCCAGGCAGTTTGGCTCCAGTTCTGCCTTGTTGTTTGGAGAGACAGGGTCTCACTATTGTCTAGGCTGGTCTCAAACTCTTGGCCTCAAGTGATCCTCCTGCCTTGGCCTCCAAAGTGCAGGGATTGTGGGCATGAGCCACTGTGCCCAGCTGGACTCTGCACTTTAATTCCAGTGCTAATGGTGATGAAGAAATGTGGAAAATAGTAAATAAATCTTTTTTTTTTAAGTCTTCATCAGCATGTGGTATTTGCAATTTTATTTTGCATTTGTACCATTTTTAAAAAATTTTTTCCTCTTTATTATACACAATGTATAAACACATACAATAGAAAACAGTAGGGATCCTCTTGGACCTCAAGAAACAGCAAGGAAGGAAGAGGTCCCAGAAACATTTTTTTTTTTT